TATGTACTTCAAAAAAATCTTATTTCGTTTTCCTTAACCAAACATAAGACTAGCATTAGTTTTTGTTTCCCATGCATTTTCTGGGATCCAAACATACCCTTACGGATTCTAAAAGAAATGGATATATTTAGTACACACCGTGGTCAATGTTTTGATGTTGATAAATTTAAATCTTTGATATTTGTTTATAAGTACATGATGATTTTGAAAAGTTTTTGGCTACAAATGTGACAGGCTCTTGCAAAGACACTGACGGTACCACAATTAGCTTATTTCCGGGAACAATTTACTTTGTTAGGGCCAAATAAAAGTGGATGTGTATCTCTACCAAACTTCAAATCGGTTAGATTTCTCTTTGCCACTTTTTTTAAATTCGTTTGTTTTTTAAAATCCCTGATGTTCAGATCTTAAGGAAAGGCTAAAAAAATGTGATTGGCAGGCTATGGCGAAATCTGCCACTGATGCCATCAAGGATTCTGGGGTTTTTGATTTTGTGAATGCGGTCAGATTCCTTTCGGAACTCTTTCCCTTGCTCCTAGATGTGATTTATATACATTGCGATGCTAAAACATTAGCCTATAAAATTACACTTCAATGAATGGTATTTGTTTCTTTCTTTGGTGTGCAGGTTAGTTGTATCCATTATAGAAAAATGGATTTTGATGAATTCTGTGGTGCTTCTATAAGTGTTTATCAGTTAGAAGGAGCGGAAGGGTGGGAGGAGCATGCGCGACAAGGCTATGAGTTTTTTGAGAAGGATGGAAACAGGCCTATTATGATCGATGAACTTGCCTCTGTATGCTCCATCTCTCTCTGTGTCTCTGATTAGTGAAACTATCATATCATTATATTATTTTGCAAGGAAAAAACTCAAAGTTTTCCATTTTTTGACATCTTTAATAAGGTGAAGTGTAGAACTCATTCACAAATTTAGTTTTCTCCACCAAAGGGACTATTTAGGCGTCACTGTGGTCTAGTCTCCACAAAGATGACAGGAAAGTCGTACTCCTTCCGTCCTCAAATAGACAACCACTGTGACTAGGCATGGAGACCAAGAAAATAAAACTATAAAAGTGACACATCTATAATCTCAGAATGTGTCAAATATCACTTTTGGCACATTAATAGTCCTCAGTTCCACACTTTTGTCATTTGTAATCACAAATCTGTGGACTCTAGCCATAAGGATAGTATTTTAAAACAATATAGATGATTATATTGTTTTCCAACATCTACTTCAGTCCACCCATATCTAGTGGCGGTTTCTCTATTGGTGGCATTTCCTACTCATATTTGCATCCTCAATGTAGATAAGAAAATGGATTTTCTAGTACTCACTCCATAGTCCATCCCTAATTTAACATGCAAGTTTGACCAGCACAGAGTATAAGAAAACTGTGTGGCTGGTATTTTTTTCTAAGAGAGAAATAATGTTTGGGTCTTCCTCTCCCTCTCTTCCCTGCCTTTTCTCCACACATCTCAACTCGTCTGACAGGTGCATCGTTTGGTCTTCTACGCACATGACCAAACCACCGTAGGCGCGACTCCCGCATCTTGTCTTCAATAGGTGTTACTCCCACCCTTTGTCTGATTGTCTCATTCCTCACGCGGTCCTTCCTAGTATGCCCACACATCCAACGCAGCATGCGCATCTCTGTCACACTCATCTTTTGAATGTGACATTGTTTCACCGCCCAACACTCTACGCCATACAGTAATGCATGCCTACTTGTTGTCCTATAAAATTTACCCTTCAGTCTAAATGGCATACCTCGATCGCGTAGAAATCCCGACGCGCTCTTCCACTTCATCCACCATGTTCTGATTCTATGGGATACATCTCCATCAGCGATATGTTCCTGGCTGGTATTTTTTTCTAAGAGAGAAATAATGTTTGGGTCTTCCTCTCCCTCTCTTCCCTGCCTTTTCTCCACACATCTCAACTCGTCTGACAGGTGCATCGTTTGGTCTTCTACGCACATGACCAAACCACCGTAGGCGCGACTCCCGCATCTTGTCTTCAATAGGTGTTACTCCCACCCTTTGTCTGATTGTCTCATTCCTCACGCGGTCCTTCCTAGTATGCCCACACATCCAACGCAACATGCGCATCTCTGCCACACTCATCTTTTGAATGTGACATTGTTTCACCGCCCAACGCTCTACGCCATACAGTAATGCAGGCCTAATTGCTGTCCTATAAAATTTACCCTTCAGTCTAGATGACATACCTCGATCGCATAGAAATCCTGACGCACTCTTCCACTTCATCCACCATGTTCTGATTCTATGGGATACATCTCCATCAGCGATATGTTCCTGGTTGGTATTTTTTTCTAAGAGAGAAATAATGCGAATCACATTGTGCATTTCTTGAAAGGAAATGAGGGATAGTTTAGGGAGACAAAGGAAAGCGCGTATAATTTAGGGACGGAGGTAGTATTTGAGAATTCTTTGCATGTTTGGTGAGGTTATGTGTTTAATTTGTAACATGTTTGTAAACCTTTTCCCTCATGCTGCCGATGTCACTTTAACTTTGATGTCAATGCAGGAGCTTGGGCTTAGTCCTTCGGTTCCAATTCATGTAGTTCTGCAGGATTGGATCAGGCATTCGGACGGGATGCTCAGTTTCTTGGGGTTCGTTCGCCTTTTGCATGGCATTTCTGCGCGGGCCCTTCAGAAAGGCAGCTTTTATGCGTAACTGGGCCCCAGTCACCGTTAATTATATCTCATAGATTTTTTTAAATCCTGAGAAGCACAAACACAACACATACTTATTTTTCAGGATCACCAGAAGCTGCAATGACTTCCCTCACCTTTTCCGGTGTCTTTGTTTGTTTTACTTTTTTCTTTTCTTTTCTCTATTTCTTCAGCTATTATGGAAGTCCATGAGGGGTATAGAAATGTACAGATCGAACAATCGATAAGATATACAAACTACAAAATGCATGTAGGGTGAGAAAAGAGAGCAGTGCTGACTGAAATGATCTTTGGTGTATTCCTTGTGCACTATATATATCACAGAGTATTATTATTATGATCATCATTATTATCATTCTACATAGGGTATGCATATCCCATTATTCCAAATACATGTCAAAGTCATGTATAACCATGCATTTTCAATATTGAACAATACCATGTAATAATTATTAGTATATTTAAGCAGTTCAACATGCCACGTATTAAAAAATAACACGTTCTTTTAAACTAACTTAGACAATATAGATATAATTTAATCAATAGTAATCTGTAATAAGAAAACAAAAATTCAAAAAACATGGATATGAAATCAATTATCCCTAATATGATGTGATTGATGTCGTGTATTTTGTCATTTTTATAATTTTAAGAAGATATTTTAAAGACTTTTGGTGTAACGGTATATTGGTAAACCTTTTATTTTTAAAACGCATATTGATACCATACCGAAATAATTCGGTACGGTATCATATCATACCGAAAATGTCGGTATACCTAAATCTTTGGGAAATTTAGTATTTTTCGATATGGTAAATGTGGTATACCGAAATTTCAGTATTTCCCCCCAGCCCTAGGTACATTATAGTCGGGCTTTCTGCTAATTTGCTGACCATTAAATACAAAAAAAGATGACACCCTATCCTTGAGGGCCCCCCAACCCCGACCGGACGGTACGTTGGGAGGATGTAAATTGGACTATAATCACAATCTGACAGATAGAGAGTGAGACTCTGTCCCCGGTACTTGCAGAGACCTTAATAATAACCTCTCATCGCAGTTGCCAGGATTCGAACCCGAGATCTAACCCTTGTGACACTCCCTTTCTACCAGTTGAGCTACGCTCATCGGTGGTGAGCATTAACTATGTTTGGCTAATGGCTACATAAAATGAATTGTTTAAATTTAAGAAATGCCTTTCGCTTAAACTAATGAATTGGATTATTGGACCCGAAGGACTAATTCATTAGTTAATAAACCAAGAGCTCTTGCAGTTAATAAAAACAGTGCAAAAGCTTCTTCTTTTTAAAACTTCAATTTGAAATCTTCTATTATACAAAGACAAAAGAAAAAATGAACAGTGTTCCCGCCCAAACACTATGCAGTAACGGGCCGGGTCAAGCTTCGCATGGGTGTAGAGACGGATCAGCAGAGAGGCCCATTTTGATGCTTAAATGATTGCACAGAACCCAATATTTCAGTTGTTGGGCGGCTGATCATTTAATGTATTGTGCTTGGTAGTTGATAGAGGTCATGTCAATGCACTGTTCGAGCTCCTGCAGTCTGCTTTTAGAACTTAAAAAATATTTTAAGTTGTCCTTTTTAACTAATGAATCACAATTAAGATCTGATTGCAGCCTTGAGTCTCAAAAAAATTAAATACATTGTACTTGATAGTTCTGAACAATAAATGGAGCCACACAAACATTTCTTGAGCCTCACAACAATAAATGCAATGTACTACATAATCTCAATGTAAAAATTGAGTGGGTATTTGTACTTGATAGTTCTGAATTGGAGCCACACAAACATTTCTTGAGTCTCACAAACAATAAATGCAATGTACTACATAATCTCAATGTAAAGCTTGAGTGGGTATTTTTAACCCTTGGTTAACCCAATTGATTCACCTTATAATTAATGCATTGTACTACCAAATCTTAATATTGAGATTGTGTGGGTTTTTCAACCTAGGTTATTCTCTCCTTTATCCAATATAAATACCCAAGCAGGGGATGACCACAACATACCACAAACCAGTATTCAGCAGCTGTATTTTTAAGTTCAAAAGTTCAAAACCAGTGCAATGGCAACCGCTTCATCAGCACAAGGGATGTGGTCCTTGCTCAAGGATATCGATCACACAAAGATGACCTGGGCAATCAAGGTTCGGGTAGTTAGGGCATACGAAGTTCCTCCACACTCTAAGGGCGGGGAGACTCTTGAAATGGTTTTGCATGACGCAAAGGTATGGTTTGTAAGATCTAACTTCTATGGCGTCTTTTGCTCAACTTTTCTTAATCCAATGTAAATTCTTACTAGGGAGATCGGATTCACGCCATTATCAAGAGGCCGCAGATAGCAATGTATAAGCCTAATATTACAGAGAAGACTACAAGTCATCCCTACATAATTCAGTTCATCTCAAAAACCCCGTTGAGGGAGGATACGAAGACGGAACTGTCTATGATGGTCTATGATTTTCAGCCTTTTGATATGTTGCATGCCCAAAGAGTTATCAACGACAAAACTCTAATTGGTGAGTTAGAGTCAAATTATTCCATACTACATTGCTTGCACAAATATCCTAATTACAGTTTCTATCGTTTAATTATGAAGATGTCATTGGGAAGGTTCTGTCCAAGAGCCTTATCCAGACCCACATAATCAACGGGAGGACTGATAGGCTAATGGAGTTGACTTTGACAGACCCGGAGTAAGTTTTACAACTTAAACGATTTTAGCAAAACAAAAGACACATGCTCATTGACTGAAACTTTTCTAAACTACAGGGGTAACAGATTGGGCGCCGTATTGTGGAACAAGTACATAAACCAGTATCTGGATTATGTTAATGCTAATGAAGGAGTGCCTGTCTTCGTGATATTTCAACTATGTAGGCCAAAAAGATACCAAGGTTTGAGAAACTTAGCAGCATTCATTATGTAGTACACAGTAGCCAAAGCTTATGGTAGTGCTGTTTTAAACACAGGGATCTTGACAGTGAATTCGTCTTTTGATGTATCAAAGCTCATAATCAACGGGAACACTACTGAGTTTCTAGAGTTCCAAAGCGAGTATGCGTATTAAATCTCCTAAAACTAAACTTTGACTACCCAATTTCATAAAAAAATCTCCTAAAACTCAAGTATCCTAGAACTAAAGTCTGTTTACCATGCAATACACAGGTTTCCAGCGGATGGTGATGACACCACGACTCAAACCTGCAACACGCAATGCTCACATGCGGAAGGGAGGGATGATATACTCGGTGGAAATGCTGTCATTACCACCATGGAGGATTTGATGAAGGCAACTGAGGTGTGTCCTGAAGCTAGAGTCATAGATTTCGCATTTTGAATAAATATATCCACTGCTAATAAGAAAATTATACTTGGATAGGAGAATGTTTATTGGGTACTTGCTGAGATAGTTTCTATAGAAAACTATCGAGAATGGTGCTACCTAAGTTGCCCAACATGCCACAAAAAATTGCAACCAGAAGAGAAACGGTTTAGGTGTACAACTTGCAGCATGTCAATGGGAGAAGGAGTTTATCGGTTCATTAATTAACCTAATGTGCTTTTATGAGTGTAGGATGTTCACGTTTTTATTTTAGTAATAAAAATTGTTACTCTGATGATTCAGCTACAAGGTCAGTGTGTGTATTATGGACAACACAGGGTATGGAAACTTCATGTTATGGGACAGGGAATGCATAGAAATTCTGGGTAAAACTTCAGCAAGTCTTAAAGACGAGGTAGAGAAGGTAACACAATAATCCGTTAGCAGTGTTTACTTTATCAGACCTTCAATCAATTATGGATGGGCTAACCACATAACTTGGAAAACACAGAAAACCGGGGATCCAAGTCGCTTTCCGGAAGACATTGAAAGCTTGGTTGATATAAAGGGAATTTTCAAAATACAGCTAAGGAAGAAGAAAGGTGAGGAAAATGCCTATAATGATGGGATTTCTCTAGGGGTGGTTAGCATCATAAGAGATCCTAATGTTATCTCAATGTATGAGAAGAAAGAGCACTTGGAAACTAATGAAATTGATGAGAGTACACCAGAAAAGGTATTTAGAAAAATTATTAATTTGTGTATTTGGGCCTTGAATAAATAAATATGACAACTAACTTAAAATCATTTTTTTGCAGATTGGTTCAAATGCAAATTTAGGAGAAACCTCCGTCAGAGAAAAATCAACTGTCAGTAAGGGCAAGGGGAAACGAATTTCGGCAGAAAAGGAGGTAAGCGATCGACTGTTAAGAGGTATATAATATTTTCGTTCAAAATTCTGTAGACGGTTCACTAAATAGCTATATTACTGCTAGGTTTCTGCACCAATTGAGTTTCCCGACACACCTACGAAATGTACCCAAAGGGAGGTCAATGTTGAATTAAATGAAGAGGTCAAAAGAAACTTGAATGATGAATTTTCAAGCACTGGGAATGGCAAGAAGCTGAAGATCAAAATCAAACAGGAACCGCTCTAGAGCGGGTTCAGTTCATGAATAACATTGATGATATTTTGTTGGCACCTACTATGGTGTTTATTGTTATTTGAAAACAGTTTCATGCACAGGACGTATGCCTTCTCTTTTTGGGATAACTGAAAACTGTGTAACAGACCATTAAACCCTACTTTATGACTATTGTGTGGTGTGCTATTATGTTTTAACTATGTTTAGGATGTTTTGTATCTATATTGGGCAGTTTTGCAGGATTTCAGAGAAGGGATATTCCTAAACCATTTAGGGAAGTTTATGCTCCTAATATCTTTGTATTTTATAAACAGACCTTTGTTTTCACACTAACGCTTTACTAATGGTTTCCAGGATGATGAAAAAGTTTTGGGTTAAGAAAAATGCTACCAATGGTGTGAAGAATGGCTTAACTGCTAGACGAGAGCATGGGATGATGTGAATAATGGCTTAACTGCTAGACGAGGGCATGGGATGGTGTGAATAATGGCTTAACTGCTAGATTTACTATGAAACATGTAAATGTGTAAACTCTAAGAGGCATTACGTAAACAAGTAAATGTGTACTCTTATGATTTCAAAAGTGTAACATTTGGATTGGAAATTCTAATACAAGTGTATTACATTTAAAAATCTATGCAATATTCTTTGGTTGCAATTTGACAATTGGCAATTTGATTCAACAACTTGCATAATTTTAAATAACCAAGTGAGGTAAAGAAGTTCATACCTTAGTCTTTTGCAGAATGGAGGGTTACCTGCAATCCCTATTTACTAAATAATATTACAAACCTTTTAAATTTTACATAAATGGCAACCTTCTAAGGTCCCAGAACTATTCCTATTACAATTTTCTAGATAGCGTTTTTAAACCTGTTCAACCAGAAAATTACACCTGTCAAAACGTATTAAAAGAGTTATTATGCATATGAACACACTCTTGGATAAAAGTACAAATAAGTTTAAAAAAATGTCTGTTAGAAAGTAAAATTTTGGAATATTTTAGTACATAATGTTGCAATATCAAACATGAAGTAAATTTTATGTATTAAAGCTTATTCGAAATTGTTATTCAAAAATAAAAACTTGGTTAGCCATTGCTAAGAGTTATTATTATAAATCAATACACTTGGGAGTTGTGGTATCTTTGACAAAATTGGAAAATAGAAATATGAAATTAAGTCCATTTTTTGGGAATAAAAATGTGGTAATAATATCTGCCCAAAATGTCATTGAAGTGTTTGTATTTTCAAATTCTTCAAAAATAGAACCATGTCTAAGTAAATATATTTAGTATGGAATGATGTCAAGTAACAAGTAAATATTTGTAAAGATGTCAAAAGCTTGAATATAATAGAAATTTAATCAACATGTGAAAGGGATGTTTGTTTCTGAATGGTATGGAAAGATATATTTAGTATGGATAAAAGATATGAGAAGTACATGATTCCACTTAGCATTTTGGGCATGTCTATTTCGGCCATATATGTATCCCAGGTATTTTGGGTTTCAAATACGTGAGTTTTAAAAAGGCCTTACCTTTGAAATAAATAAATTAAATTAAATTGAATCAATACATATCCAAAGGAATACTGAAAAGTAATAAAAATAAATTTATGCACGAAGTGCAAATGGATTTAGCAGAATAATAAAAGATATTTATTGTAAAAGTTTATAAAGAGTATTTAGCAGAATCAAGATCCAAACCTGCCCAAGTTCCCTGTGTACTAATTAAGGTACCAACTTCCAATGTTGGAGATTGTGTGGCTCAAGAGAGCATTAATGAGTAGTATAATAGATTTAAAACTTTGTACTTTAAAAACACATTAATTCTTGGGAGCTAGGTTATATATTTTTACTTAAAAAATAAGGGACAAAATATATAAAAAAACATTAAATTGATTTCAAATAATCGGAAATTATTTTTGGAAAAGTATTCAAAAAATTTGAAAATAAATTTTAGAAAAATAAATTATAACGCGAATATCAAAATATTATTATAAAATATTCATACAACAAGTTGGTTTTAATTTATTTGATGTAAATGTTTATAGAGTATTTAGCAGAATCAAGATCAAAACCACCCAAGATAGATGTGTACTTGAAAGCTGCGGGCAATTAATGCAGGCAACAACTTCCAATGTTGGAGATTGTGTGGCTCAAGAGAGCACAAATTTAAAACTGTATTTTAAAAACACATTATTTTTACTAAATAAATAAAGTACAAAATATATTAAAAAAATAAAATAATTTCAAATACGTAACAATTATTTTTGGAAGTGTATCCTTAAAAATTTCAAAATAAATTTTGAAAAAAAAAATTAAACGCGAACACCAAAAAACTATTAGAAAATATTCATAGATAACAAAATAATTAAATCTGCACGTTTTTAAAATTTGGGGCTGTGCTTAAAGGTAATCATGACATATGAACAAAACCGTTCATTAAGTACAATGGTTAGTAGGGTTCGAAACAGTCAAGGGGCAGTCATTATTGTAAAGCACTTGAGTATCACTACTCAAAAATATTAATATAACACAGTGTATTAATTCTAGGATGGAATGTAGGTCTGCTGGAATTAAATGAAGATGTACAACATATATTATAAAATATTCCAGAAAGGTAACTTACCAATATTGTAAAGTGAGTGGATATGTAACTCCCAATGCATTTACTCCATGCTCAAAAGCTCATGATAGTTCTGAAGTGGAGCCACACAAACATTTCTTGAGCCTCACAAACAATAAATGCAATGTACTACATAATCTCAATGTAAAGATTGAGTGAGTATTTTTACCCCTTGGTTAACCCAATTGATTCACCTTATAATTAATGCATTGTACTACCAAATCGTAATATTGAGATTGTGTGGGATTTTCAAACACTGTGATTTTCTCTCCTTTATCCTATATAAATACCCAAGCAGGGGTAATCATGACATATGAACAAAACCGTTCATCAAGTACAATGGTTAGTAGGGTTCGAAACAGTCAAGGGGCAGTCATTATTGTAAAGCACTTGAGTATCACTACTCAAAAATATTAATACAACACGGTGTATTAATTCTAGGATGGAATGTAGGTCTGCTGGAATTAAATGAAGATGTACAACAAATATTATAAAATATTCCAGAAAGGTAACTTACCAATATTGTAAAGTGAGTGAATATATAACTCCCAATGCATTTACTCCATGCTCAGAAGCTCATTTATGAGCTCAACCAAAAATTCTAACAATTGAAACTGTGAGAAAGGCTCAAGAATATCTACGACCAGTGCAATTGAGTGTGAAGAAAAGGTATGTTTCATAACTCATTATTGATAATGCTATATGAAACTATGCAATGAACACTAATACCAAATGCATTTAAACTGATTACAACACTTAAAATCCTTTTATTTGTAAAAAATAATTGTATTTTTTTCCTTTGTAATGAAAGATGAGAAGCTGTTCATGCAACAAATGTTCTCAACCAAAATGTCATACATGTGGACACTATCCTGGACTCTCTTGGTTGCAACCATGCTCTTTGTGTAATGGGAATTTAAGTCACTTTTACTGCATGAGGCCAGTAAACAAAAATAGGGGTACTGGCAAATACTTATGCAAAGATTGTCAAGAATGGTTAGATGCAAGACCAATGATACCTAGAAGATCAGTGCGGACAGTCACACTTAATCAGAAGTACTTCAATGAAAAACTTTGTGTGGGGATGAATTTTAGTTGGCTTAACTAGGGATGACCTTAGTAATGCATTTATATGATTAAAATATGCATATGTTTTTGCTGGATATGTTAAAGCCAATTGGAATGAACTTAGATGCATTTCAATGAATGAAATATGCTTATGTTTTTGCTGGATATATAAAAGGGCAAAACAGATTAGAATTTTTTTGATTGGGTGGATAGTATGTTCATGCCATGTTATATTCCTAAAGGGATGTGTCTATGTAATCCATGGTATGCTTTATGCAGACCATGTCATGCTTTATGAAATCCAATGTTTAATGTTGTATGCATATGCAGTTTTGAAGTTTCAGTGTTTCAGTTGTGCAACAGCTGAAGAATGTTTTAATTTATGCATTTGACAGATGTTTTAGTGTATAGAAAAGTTCAGAAAACCAATTTCGATGCACATGCATATCATAAGAAATTACTCATTAGTTGAGATGCAGACTATTAAGGATCAATGGTGATCTGGTGTTTCAACTTATCAGGCCAACGGACTGCCAGACCACGCAGTTCCGAAGGCCACTTTGGTGGCTGGCAGAGCATCTGACAGTCCTATGGGATGGGCCATGAAAACCAGAAATACCAAATTGAACCGGTTTGAAAATTTGTTTATGAAAGCGACAATATGAAATAAATGTCTTAGTATAAATAAAAAGTATTCCAGTCTTCCAAAAGCTGTATTAACATCATGTCGTTTTGGTTTCAAAACAGTTCTTCAATGAAGAGGATCACCAAAAGCACAATAATCAACCCTAAAAGAAGCGTTGAAGACCTGACTAACAAAGGTAGTTCAATATTTTCAAAATAATTTTGGAAATTTGTAATGGAAAATTAGTTAAATATGCATTTATGATTTCA